CGCCGCCCCGGGAAGCCGGCCGGCCTGGGGTTCGCTCCCGGGGGAGGGCAGTTTCGGGGGTCCCGGGCGGGGGAGTCGGGAGCAAGAGGGGAGGGGGCGGCGGGTTTTCATGTGCCCAGCATGAGCTCCTACTTCGTCAACCCCCTGTTCTCCAAGTACAAAGGCGGCGAGTCCCTGGAGCCGGCCTATTACGACTGCCGCTTCCCGCAGAGCGTGGGCCGGAGCCATGCGCTGGTGTACGGGCCCGGCGGCTCGGCGCCCGGCTTCCAGCACGCCTCGCACCACGTCCAAGACTTCTTCCACCACGGCACCTCGGGCATCTCCAACTCGGGCTACCAGCAGAACCCGTGCTCGCTGAGCTGCCACGGAGACGCCTCCAAATTCTATGGCTACGAGGCGCTCCCCAGACAGTCCCTTTATGGGGCTCAGCAAGAGGCGAGCGTGGTGCAATATCCCGACTGTAAATCCTCCGCCAACACTAACAGTAGCGAAGGACAAGGCCACTTAAATCAAAACTCGTCTCCCAGCCTCATGTTTCCATGGATGAGACCCCACGGTGAGAAGCCTTTTCTCTTTCCCCCTTGGTCTCCCGCGCTCCGGGGTCTTCCCCCCCTCCCTTGCCTCCTTTTTGTCTGCCCTCGCTTTCCCTCCTGGCTTGGGGATCTCTCCAGCCCCACCCCCGGGCCTGAGTGGGTTTCTGGAGGTTGGGAGGTTGCGCTGGGGGTGGGGCACGGGGCTTGCCTGGGAGATTTGGGGGATTGGGGTGAAGGTGGGGGAAAGGTGGTGTCTGGGTGCAAAGGGTTAAAAAAATCGTTTCTCCACCTCTGTCAGTCAGCCTGTCTGTCTGTCTCTGTCTCTCTCTATCTCTCCCTCTCACTATCTCTAGTCAAAGTTGGGGAGGTGGCTGGGAAGGGCCCGAGGACTCTGAGGTTATCAGCCTTTGGAGCAAGCCAGTTTCTCCATAAGGCAGAGAGCCTCAGTCCAGGGCAGTGGCCAGACTGTCTTGGGGCCAAAGGAGACCCCTGCTTCCTTCCCCTAGCTGGGCCAGAGGGTGGCGGGACCCCCAAGGACAGGTGCTCTGGCTCTCTGGGGTACCCACCGCCTCCTCTCAGAGAACTAGACTTAGGGCCACTACCCCAACTTTGCTTTACTTCCTTCAGTTGGAGAGAAGAGAGGAGAAAAAAGAGGCAGGAAAGGAGGGAGGCCATGCAGATTAGAGGGCTCTGAGATCCAGAGAACCCTTGCCAAGCTGCCCCCAATCAAAGGCTTGTGGGGTCTTCCCCCTGAGACCCTCAGGGCAGCGCAGGTCATGAGCCCCTCCAAGGGTGGCCCCTCATAACCCAATTTCGGAGTAAAAGGGGAAGCGAGAAAGCGACAAGTTCCAGCGGGGATGGCCCGTGATTTATCTGCTGGTCTCCAGTTAGCAATCAGGCCAAGCACTGATACATTCTAGGAGATCAATTATTTTTCTTCCTGGCAAAGCATTAGGCAGAGAGGTCCGAGGAGGGGCAGTGAGTAGAGACCCTCTTCTTCACCCCCGCCCTTTTGCCTTCCTTTTGGAAACAGACTCTGTCCCCAGCCCTGCTCACCCAATGCCCCTCTGCACTTGTAAACAAAGCTGCAAGAGCCAGTTTTCTGGGACTTCAGGCCCTTGAGGGGGGGTACTCTGCAGTGCTACCCTGGCCCCTGCCAGCCCCCAGTTTCCAGGCAGACCCCAGTCCCTGCCCCCACCCTCATCCTACCTCCCCAAGCGAAGCCAAGCCAAAACAAACCCTCAAACTTTCCTGCCCTTGCCTGCTTTTTGCTCTAGCCTTTTCTTCGGGAGGGAGGGGAACTGGGGAGACCAGAGGGGGTACTTCAGGGGAGGAAGACTGACAGATGAAAGCTCAGCCCCCACCCATACATAACCAGACTGGGGTTCTGTTCTGTCCAGCTCCGGGGCGGCGCAGCGGAAGGCAAACTTACAGCCGGTATCAGACCTTGGAACTAGAAAAGGAGTTTCTCTTTAATCCTTATTTGACACGAAAGCGCCGGATTGAAGTCTCTCACGCCCTGGGACTGACTGAGAGACAAGTGAAGATCTGGTTCCAGAACCGAAGGATGAAGTGGAAAAAGGAGAATAACAAGGATAAACTACCCGGAGCCCGAGATGAGGAGAAGGTGGAGGAAGAAGGAAACGAGGAAGAGGAGAAAGAAGAGGAGGAAAAGGAAGAAAACAAGGACTGAGCAAAAAAGAGAGACACCCCCCCCCCGCCCTTAGCAACTCCCTTGAAGTTTCGTTTTATGGTAGCGGATAAATTGAGAAGTTTACGACTGTCATTTGCTTTTATAGAGAATAGAATGACACTCACAACTCTAACTACCTTTCAGATACTTGCAGCTCTGGTTTTATTACCTTTGGACTTCCCTCGATCTTTATTTGTTTGGGGGCTGGAGGGGGGAGATGGAGACAGTACGGAAAGTTCCGAGTCTCTGTCGTAGTCTTTGCCCCAACACACACACTTGTCCCTCCCCCTACCCTCCCAAGTCCTGCCTGGATTTTAAGGTCTGAGAGAGACCTGGCCTCTTTGCCCCCTCTCCCGGCCCCTTCTTGCCACACTCCCACCTCCCTACTTCTCTGATAGTTATTTTAGAGGGGAGCCCCCCTCAAAATGTGGAAGAAGACTCGTGGCTTTGTTTTCATGCTTGGATTAGTGTATTAGATTTACTTTTTTATTTTCAAAGGAAAGAAAAAGTGAAGGAAGGAAAGGAAAGGAAAGGGAAGATGTTTAAAGACATTTTTCAAATGATAGCGAGGAATATCCTCTCTCCTTCCCTGGGGCTCCCTGCTTAGACAGACCCCCTTGACTTTCTCTAGGAACCTGGTGGAAACCTGAAGGAGATGGGGGTCTCCCCCTCCCCCCTCTCTTTCCACAGGGTAGATAGATGCCTGTAGTCACTGCTAAGATCCTACCTAGCCATCCCATGGTCACTCGGGCCCATGCCTTCCCCCCCTTCGCTGTCTGATTTCTGTTGTTGGGCCCACATTCCTCTGAGCTGCATCAGTGTTAGCGCTCAGAAACCACCATGATCATGAAAACAATAATGGTGATAGTAATAATAATACTGATAATAAATCTTTAACATACTACCTAAAGGGAACCTGCAATAACCTTAAAAACACAAAAAAGAGAGAAATTTTAAAAAATCCTGATACAGGATAAAAAAAAGAGAAAAAGTTAAAATAAAAAAAAGAAAGAAACTTCCAACATATTTTATCACTACCTATAGAAAGAAATCCTGCTTTGAGAGTATTTGTAATGCGGTTTTGTTGTCGTTTGTTGCTGCTTATTTCACTAAGAAAAACCCAACAACTGAGACTGCCTAGCCCGCCGGTCCTGTGCGCTTTTATTGTGCTTCTAACCCCAGTAGAGTAGAACTAAATTGCACTGAATGTATAGTTAACTCTGTCTTGAATTCTCTGTTTATGCAATGTGCTCGAAAGAAAAAAAATGTTAAAAATATATCTATAATAATAATTTTTGGTCATTTGTCTTTATGTCCAGCTATGAATGTAGATTTTGTGTCTCGGCAGCCCTGTTTCTGGTCCAAGTACTTTGTATTGTATACGTGAGTCATAATTAAAAAAAAGGAGAAAAAATATTTGAGGCTGGAATGACTGACTTGCTTTTTCCCCAATTCTCCTCCTGCCCATTCTCTACCACCTGTCCCTTCCTCATCCTTTTGCAACACTGTGGTGAAGGTCTCCTCCACTGATCTGACTTTGGTTAGAGGGAACTCACGTGGAGAGGAGCAGAGGAGTTGAGAGAGCAGGCTGGGCTGGGAGGGCAGGTGGAAGGGGGGAGGTGGAGAGGAGGGGGAAGAAGAGCGGTATGCTCTTGGGAGAACCTTGGCTCCAAACAAATGGGTTTCTGAATGCCAGGATCCCAGTGGGAAGATAGCATCTTCCCTCCACTGATCCACTGTCTTCATCCTGGCCCTGGGCTGGGCCCAGACCCCAAATCTTCTCCCAGGCCCTTTCCACAACTAGGCCTTTTTCTTCTAGGGTCTGGGGCTGAGGATGAGGTTGAGGCAATGGGGTTCCTTCTGATCGCCACATACCCCCAGGGCCAACCCTTGGTACACAGCACCCAGCACTACAACATGAACAGGGTGGGAAAACGTGAGGCTCCAGGCAGCCTGGAGGGCTTGGCTGGAAGATTTCTTCCAGTCGGGGATGAGGGAGCTTAAGCTTGGGGGAGGACAAAGAAGGGGAAGGTGAGTGAGCTGGTACACCAAACAGCCTGGGTCCACATTCTGGAATTCAAATTTGGCCAGCCCAGAGCCATCACTGTCACCCAGTCCGCTTGCACCCACTCCAGCCTCTGTTCTGGCTGTTTCAAGCCCACTCCCAGTTCCACCTTGGCAGTTCCTGCCCTGCGCTCATAATTTGGGTCATTGGCCTGGGGCAGGGTGGACCTGCTGAGTGGACAGTTCCCCACCCCAGCCACAGCAGGGTAAGGACTATCTTCACTGAATTCCTCATTCTCCAAAATAAACGGTCAAAGGCTAAGGGATTCTGGGGACAAGGGGTCTCTCATTCCTCCCTGGAGGGTCCTAGTCAGAGAAATCTGTTTATGCCAGTAAGATTCTGGCAAATAATCCCAAATTCCAAAGATGCAAGTCGTCTGATTCAGTCAAGAGAGGGGGGAAAGGGGAGGGGATGTGATCTGGTCTTAAAAACCAGACCCCCAAAGAGTGAAATATTTTTGAGACCAGATCTCTCTCTCTCTCTCTCTCTCCCCTGCTCAATGATTTCCCCAGACTTAGGCCCAGATGGACTCTTGTTTTGTGTAAGTTCCCCCACGTCTGGGTCCCTGGCTCCCACGCAAAGTGGTCCTGAATACAGGATTGGATCAGGCGTCGTTAACGGGGGACTCCTGCAGCCCGAGAGAGGCTGCGGATTGGAAGCGCAAGCGGCGGGCAGCCGGGAACAGTTTTGAGCAGCTCTGGGGGAAATCTTTCGGAACCTGGGGTCCCTGCTGCCAGCCTCGGGGCCAGCCAGGTAACCCCTTTGCTGCGGGAAACACCGGCTACCCGCTGGGGAGACCCGAAAAGACAGCATTTCGCTCCGACCGCAGGCCTTCCCATGGGCGTCCAGACTCAGCCGCCGAGGGCCGTTTCATTTTTAAACGTGGAATTATGATTTCTACTAATAAAAATCGCTGCCTCAGTAGCCGAGTGGGTTGACCGTGCACTAACTGGCTTCGAAGGACCTCGCCGAATTTTCCCCATGCCAAATGTCCCATTCATCCCTGGCCCTGCTCAGCCATGCCCGTGGCCCCAAGCCTGGCGTCGGAGGGCGGGGTGCGTCTGGCGCCCGGCAACGCTTGAGATGCGAAGCCTCGGGTGGGCCAGACCAAGAGAGCTCCAGCCACCCCCTCTTGCAGCATCCGCCCCCCCACCCCGGTGCCCACCGCCTCTCTTTTCTCGTTTGGAGAGAAAAGGAGGCAAAACCCATTTTATGGGGGAACTTAATTGCGAGCGGGATGCGCTCTCTTTAGAAACGCGTCCTCCCAAATGCTCCCGCCGTCCCATTACCGGAATGGGGACCATTCGACTGCAGCAGATAGGACTTTCTCCCATTCTTTACTTTTTTTATTAGCCAATCAAAGTGGCTTCCGAAAGCTATTTGTGATTTGTGAAAAATAGTATCTTTCAAAATGCTGAGTTGAAGCATCTCGCTCATTTCGCCCTGAATTTATTATTCTAATCTCAACCGTAGAGACGGGATAATGCAGCTATTAAGTTGGGGGGCAAATTCGTTTCTCTGAAATTTTTTTTTTAATTCTCGGCTTTTTCTCTCCCTCCCCACTTTACTGCAGAGGCAACGGAGTTGGGGGCCTGCGGGGGATCTCGGGGGGTGAGGGAGGTAGTGAGTGCCCTAAAGGGCTCCTTGGGGGACCCTAGGGTGGGAGAATGGACTGGCCTCCTCAGCCTCATCTTTCCTAAATGAGATGCCCTGTAGCTGCGAGCCGGCTGGAGAGTTACCCCGCCCCACTTAGAGCGAACTCAGGACAGGTTGTGCCACAGACTAGAAGTAAAATTTCCGGTGAACTGCCCGCAGCGCTGTCCCATTCTCCCCTCGGCCCATTGTGAAAAGCTGGGCCAGAGCTTCCTTGTCGTAATTTTTAACTACCTGTTATAAAATTTATGGGTGGGTTTGTAAAAGAAACGAGGTCCCTACATCCGGCTGAGGGAACTGCTTCTCTTACTGTGAAGGAAGTTTGGGGAGGGCATGAGGGACCCCCTATTGGTTGGGGTGGGGCACCCAGCCATGGAAGTCCCCGTGCCAGCTTGATTCAGGACCAAGGGAAGAGCCTTTGGGCCTTCAAATCTCCAGTTGGTGGGGAGAGTGGCTGGGTTATGACTGGCTGGCAAATAATCTCTATGGGCGAATTTATTCTGGGCTCCCCACACTGGGCTCATTGTCAAAATTAGGGGTCTGGAGAAAAGTGGGGGTGGGTAGCGCCTCAGAGTTTAGTATGGAAGGTGCAACTTAGAGAAGAATAGGTTCTTTTTTCAGGGCTTCCAAGGTGTGTCCCAGCTGCCCGGACATTGGAATTTTTCTGAAAAAGGCAGGCGGGTGTGGGCCACCTGACAAGACAGAAAAGCTTCACACCACCTTGCACCCAAAGAAAAAGAAGTGGGAACCAAGATCTTGGGCCTTAATTTGATTTTTAATTCTAAAAAGATTAGAAGTAAGCTGCCATCTGAACCTAGGAATTGAGGAGACCTGACACTAGGGATGGTCTGGGGGGATGTCATTTTCTCTGAGAAAGGAACCTGGGGATGAGGCGCGCTTTGGGGGTTCTGGAGCTTGGCCCCCATTCTCACCCCTCCTGCGGTCTCTGCAGGACTGCCCAGGGCAGGTCTAAACCCTCTCTGCTCTTCAGACCACGGCCAGGTCAGGCTTGGCGATGACGCTTCCAGCTTCCAGCGGCCTGCCCCTCCCATTTCCATCTGGGCTGGAGTTGGGGACTGCCAGCACGGGACACCCCTTGGGAAGAATGTCGTTCTCTTCCTAGAAAAAAAAATGGTAGCGGTAGGGAGCGCATCCCTTCTCAGTCCCCTCACGCTGCTGGCCGTCACTGCCCCAATTGTCATAAACCTTTGCAAAGCTTTGGTTCCCCCAGGTTAAACCTTAATACACCATTTATGAAGGAAAATATGTAAAAATTCTGCATGGCAAAGGGAGGCAGCCGACTCCGTGCCCGAATCTTTCCTTCTCTCCTCTCGTGTCCCCCTTTTGCCCTTCCGGAGCTGACCAGGAGCAGCCCGCCCGTGGGGAGTGGGCGGTGGGTGGGGGTGGGGTGGGGGGTCGGGGGATGCTCCCTCTCCAAGAGAATTGGGTAAACATGGCGACCGCGGCGCCCATTTGCACACGCTACACAAATGCATCGCATTCCCGGTTGTTTGCAGAAAATTTACAGCTGAGTAATAAAAGTTTACGATCGACTCACAAGTTGGATTGGCCACAAGAAGTCATGTGGATTCCATCCATGAACGTGAACTTTTTATTGTGGTTTGTCCGTTCGGAGCGCTCCGCAGAACAGTCCTCCCTGTAAGAGCCTAACCATTGCCAGGGAAACCTGCGCTGGGCGCTCCCTTCATTACGAGTATTTTTTTTATTAATCTGATTAATAATTATTTTCTCCCCTCATTTAATTTTTTCTTCCCAGATGGAATTGCCGGAAGCTGGGGGCACCTAGGGAGGGGGGATGGGTGAGCGGCAGGAGTAGAGGGCACCCCTCTCTCCCTTCCCGACCCTCTAGCCCCCCAAGGGGCAGGAGGAATGCGGGAGCAGGAGTTGAGACAGGGAGCTGCATATGCCTCCGCCCCTCCCCTCTCCCAGGCTCTCCCTCCTGCCCCCTTCTTGCAACTCTTCTTAATTTTATTTGGCTTTTTTGAATATTGGGACTATTTTTTGATTTTTAAATTTCTATAAAGTACATAAATGTATGTGGAGCTGAGACAGGCTCGGCAGCGGCACAGAATGAGGGAAGACAAGAAAGAGAGTGGGAGAGAGAGAGGCAGAGAGAGAGGGAGAGAGAGAGTGACAGCAGCGCCCGGTAAGTGTTTCCTTATTGGTTCAAATATGTAACTAATGGTCCGTAGCTGGGTGGCGGTTTCAAGATAAGGACAGCAGCGGCTTGTCTTGGTTAGAGAGGAGAGGGGGCTGGCGAGAGGGTGGGCGCGTGGGCAATTATGGGGAGGAAAATGGGGGGAGGATAGCAGAAATTAGGTTAAACTAGAATATAGTAGTGGGGGAAGTGTGTTGTTCCTATGTCACTGTGTGCTGAAGTTGGGGGTCGGGGGGCCAGAGGACTGCGCCAGTGGGGCTCAAGGCCAGTAGTGCGCCGACCATGTATGTCCTTACCTGTTATAATGGATCTGAGGCCTCTTGGCTAATGGGACTGGGACAGAGATGGCCTGGGAGCTCAAACTTCAGGGCAGCAGAGAGAACTTGTAGGTTGTAACCATTGCCCCCAGAGCAAAGTCAGCCCCCCAACCCCCAAACAAACTTTCCAGCGCCCCCTCCCTGCTCCGCAGCCCCCTCCCTACCAGAGAGCGCGACCGCTAGAGCTCACACATGCGCAGTGCTGGCCCAGGGCCCAGCCGCGGAGCAGGAAGAGCGCGCAGCTAGGCGGGCGGCGGGGCCTGTTAATTGGCAATTAGGGGGGGAGGCTGGTGGCTGGTGCGCGTCAGCGGAGGGGAGAGCGTCTGCCCACCCCCTGCTCCCACCCCTACTCGAGCGGATGGGAAGATGGGAGGTGCCCTGCGCTGCGGGTGGATGGGTGGGGGTGGGGGACTCGGTACTCAAAAGCCATCTTGTGCTTGGAAAAAGGGGGCTAATCTGCCTTCTCTCTCCCGGCGCGTCGCCTTCCACCCCCAACCGCGGCCACCCCACCCAGGGTACCCACTGGGCTGCTTCATCCGCCTCGCCTGGCTGCTCTGGTCTGGGATCTGCCCTGTCTGGAGCGGAGGTGGGAATTGGGGAGGCCCCAGGCTGGGTGGGGATAGGCCCAGGCCTCACTGGCGGGGCCTCCTGGGTGAGCGGAGGCAGTGAGGACTTAAGGCGAGGCCGGTTTAAGGGATAGGGACGTCAGAATTGGGCGGCCCAGAGGGTCCTGGGCGCTCGGGATCTTCCTAATAATTGGTGCTAATGGCGTGTTGTATAGTCTTAACCCAACACATATGGTTTCATAACACAGTGGCTTAATTTCTTCCAAATGTACGTGGCCCTGAATGTGTTGCAGCTTGATATATGACCCCGCCCTGCTCCCTGGCCTGGGTCCGAGGCGGCCCCTATATATATGTGAGCTTCTGTTTATAAAAGGCGATGCACACAGAATTGCTTACACACGCAGGCAGACACACCCCAGAGTTGGGGAGGGGCGCACATTCCTGGAGAGGTCCGAGAGTCTGGGGGCCAGACTCACCTTCAATCCAGGCCAAGAGCACCCCCCGCATCCTCTCCCAACGGCGCGACTTGGCTTCTCCAAACCCGAGTGGGGGAGGGGATCGCTCCCTGATTTCCTGTTTAAACCCCCACCGGTCGCCTAGGGGGTGCGGGGGGGAATAGCCTACTTTTATCACATTCTTAAAAATATAGTTCGATTGCATTCAAATCAAACCCCTTGGGCTGGAGTTGAGGGTGAATCTTCCCTCCCCTCCCCCCATAATCCCCTTCCCTTCCTCTCCTGCCCCCCCAAAATTCCCCTTTCGCAGCCGACATAAAGGCCTCTGAGGTATTCTCCCGGGGGAAGAGATGGCATTTTCTCTCCCCCTCCCCCCCCAATAGGACTTGTGTGTGTCGGCATAGGCGTCTGCCGAGGGGCTAATTTCGCGTTCCTTGTTTACGATCGAGAAAAGCGCTTGGCTCTCCCCAAATGGGCCCAGCCTGCCGCCTGCTCCGGCTGCGGCGCGCTCTCCCGCCGCTCTGGCCGGGCCCAGGGGCTGACGCCCCGGGGAGCCAGGCCGCGGCGGCCGAGACCCCGAGTCCCTGCGCCCTGCAAAGGGCAAGGGGAGTACAGTGGGCCAGTGGAGGAGCCCCGGAGGCCTGAAAATGGGAGCCTTTCTCCTGGCGTACTATGGGAATCGCGGATCGGTGAGGCCTCTGTTTCTCTCTTTCGCCTGTATTTTGTCTGCCCCCGCCCCTGCAGATGGCCCCACTGACTTGGGGAGGGGGGCGGCATAAGTCTCCTTTGTTCGCCCAAGAAAGACAACAGTTTCCGGAAAAGGTCACTCAGGCCAGTGGGGATTCACCTGGAATACTAGAGGTGGCCCCCTCCCTTTGGAGGGGTGGGCCTGGGCAAGGCTGGGGTGTTTCTCTGGGACTACCAGGATCTAACCGATTGTGGTTGGTGAGATTTCAGTACTAGGGTTCCTGGTTGTCTGGTTGAAAAGCATCATCCTGAAATGTCCTTATATAATATTTTAATGAATTGATTTTCTGTCCTTTCCTGGCTAGAGTCTCGCAGACCCCCACTCGTTTCACCCCTAGAATCTTCCTTATGAGACAGAGGGATGCAGAGAAAGCATTGCAGTGGTGACTGGCCCTGATTTTCCATTTTCTAGTCTGGCCAGGGGAAAAACCCAGCCCCAAATACCAGCCCCTTCCCTCCTTACTTTCGATTTTCCTTCCCTTCTCTCTCTCCCTTTCTGCTGCTCAAACAGAAGCAAAAGAGGGGCCACCAGCGGTAACCCTCAGCCTCCTTGCAGACCAAATTCCCTGTAGACGAGGTCCTTAGAGCAGGAGAGCACTGCTGTGATTATCTAATAATAGCCAGGGCGGCTGAGAATAGAAATCAGGCTCAAGGACTCTGCACACCCAGGACTAAAGATGGGCAGAAGCCCTGAATCTGTGGGTCAGGATCTGAGGACACTTCTTGGAGCCCAGGGTGCCCAGCACTCCCTTCTGAGCCCACTCTTTGGGCACCACAGGCCTGCCCCTTATGGGGCTTTGTCAGTCTTGCCATGGGCTGTATTTCATGCGCCAGCTCTTAGCTAAAGAGAAATGGGCAAAGCAAACCCTTTCTCTCCTTGGTCTGACAGTTGTGATCCCCACGAAGAATACGACCTTGTCTGGAGAAGGCAGTCTTGTTGGGTTGGCTGTTGTGTTCCAAAACCAGGCTTGATAGCTTTATACATTTATTACATACAGGCTCAAATGTACCGGTGCAGACTTACGCGTGAATATATATACAGACTCGTATTTCCTTGGTGGTTAATTGTATATTGCCATGCCTATATTCGCTCAAACACCATTTTATGTGCTTGCGAAATTTTGTTAGCCCTCACTAGATGGGTGTGTGCTCAAGGAGGCACTGGGTGCCCGCTGTGCATGCTCTGAATAAAATGTGTGTGTGCTGGAATCGGAGTATGCGGGATTCAGTCACCAAGGGATGCCACAAAAGCTTTCTCAGACCTGATTGCCTTCGCTGTCCAAGTAGCTGTCCAAGTAGCCAGGCTGGGGAAAGACTGACTCCCTTCTGCTTTCTCTCCACACCTCCTTGAAAACTTCCCCAATTCAGGACTGTTTAACCAGGGGAATGCTGTTGTGTTGACAGTGCGTACTGTGGGGCTCTTCCGTGCAGGAGGTAGGCCTGTGAGCAGTTCTGAGCAGTTGCTGGGCCCTGGGGCTTGAAGCCTTGCTGAGGTGGTGCAGGAGATTGGAGTGGTTAATAAGGTGGCCTCTGGGCAGTGGTCTGGGGTGGCTGCCGGTCAGGGTGTCTGGACAGGCTGGTGGAGAAGGCGAGCTAGAACCGGTAGGAGTGCGGTGACCATACATCTCCCGCCCCTGTTTGCCCGGCTCTCACCGGGCCCCAGCTTTGCCTGTGTCATCTGTGGGGCAGATTAGGGGCTCTCTAAGTTCCCCCAGATGCCCAGATCTGGTTACTGGTGGGACTTCATTTTAATCCTCTCCTTTAGCTAAACCGGGGAGACGGCTGATGTGGTAGTGCCAGAGAAGAAGCTGGGTCTGGCCGCCTGTGGGCCTCGAGCACTGAGTGTGGGCCGGGGCTGGGAATTCCTAGCCTTTTTCGCTCTGGGACCAGGGAAAGACAGAGCAGGGTGGGTATCAATGTCTGTGAAAACCCCAATGAAAGAAAGTAAGGACAAGAGAGGAGCTGGCGGGGTTTTCCTCCACTCCCTAGGCAATCAGGTTCCTTGCAAGAATCTCCTGTCTAGACTTGCTGCGGGTGCCGAGGTGAGCAGCTTTCTCCCACCTTCTCTCTGCCGCGCACTGAAGGTGGCCTCGGGCTTCTGGGCTTCGGCCACCCCCCGGGTGCTGGGGTGACATTACCCACAAAGCGTGCCCCTCACCCGGCCCACGGCCTCTGCCACGGCGCTGCAGTTGCCCCTGTTTATTGTGTCTGTGAGTTGTTTACTTGTTTTGTCTGCTGCCACCCTGCGTCAGAAACCCGCCAAACCAGCAAACTCACCCAGGAGAACAAAGTGCAGCACTATCCTGAGCTCCCTCCCCTTTCCGGCACCCTGCTCCCGCCATTACCTCCTCCCTTACTCTCTCTTTCCGAGGGGAGGAAGCAGAAATCATCCTAAAATAGGGCAGCTGTTTATAGGGTGGGGGAATTATGGGGACACCATAAACCTCCGGGTGGTGGAGAGACAGAGCAGCCTTCCCCTTGCCTCTGGCTTTTCATCCCTCCCCCTGGCAACTGCCTGGTTAAGGGGGCCACATTCATTGAAAAAGTTGAGTCCCCCTCACCCCACTCTTTTCTGCAGGAGGCTTTCCCTGAGACACAGGTTGTTGGGTTTTAAATCAGGATAATGTTGGTGGATTCATAAAGCTAGGTAAAGCATGGCACTCTCCTCTCACCCTCCCTTCTCCTCAGCCCCCCAAAATAGCAGTGAATTTAAGCAAATCCCACAAAATTAAATTGCCCCTTCACTAAAGATCCTATAAATCTCCAATCCCGCCAGGTGTAGAGTCAGAGAGGCCGCTGATCGCCTCTAATTTTGCTCCTGGCTATCAAATCTAAAAGAGTATCATCAAAGTAAGTAATATTCTCCTTTCTGAAATTAATTCCCCCTCCCAGTCTCTCTCCCTCTTTTCGCCAGCGCAGATTAAATGATTCTTTCAGATCTGCAAACAATAAAGGATAAAATTATTTATAGGGAAATGAGGACGATGTTTCATTGTTGGCTTATTGTTCCAGAACATAATAACATTTTATTTTCAAGTGGAAGAGCTTAGACCAGGGGAAGAAAAAGGGGAATGAGGGGGAATAGTGAGGGAAGGCAAGGCATCCACACACCAAACTCGAGCTGTATGTAACTTTTATGACATTTATGATTTCCTCGTGACAACTCACTGTGACGTCATAAATGCTGTGTTCTTGGATTTTACAGTTCTCATAAACCTCCAAAGTGGGTCCAAGCAGTGCTAGGTGTGGAGGGATGTAAGAGAAGACAGGAACTTGGGGAATCCTTTAACCTCATTCTGGGGACCAAAAATATTCTGAATATTTTGGATTTTCATTCTCTCTTGGGCCAAGCAGGGCTACTTGCTTTGCCTCCCTGAAATGTCACTCAGGGTCTGAGTTCCCTCCCCATTCCCAATGGGGACTAGATACTGTGTCCTAAGGCTCTCTGTCTGCCCTCTCCAGAGCTGATATTCAGCTGCTTGGGATAGAGGTGAGAGGCTGGGGGTCCAGGCCCCAAAAGCCAGAAATGATTTCTTCCAGAGGGAGCCGCAAGGGGTCCAGGGCTGAGTGTGATGGGACAGAGATGCTTAAGATCTATTTTACTTTTTAACCCTCAGCCAGAGAAGTGAGTTGAGAAGCCAAATGCTGGTGTGGTATGGGAGTCTGTGTCAGCTGATGGTAGCAGCCTTAAGTGGAGTGGTGGTAAAGAAAGGTCAGGCAGAAATCTGGAAAGAGAGGGAGAGGAGAAAATATGACATGAGTTAGCAGAGCCCCTCCATGTACCTTTCTTCTCTGTTTAATTGCAAATAAAGCAAAAGCAGCTTGGGTAGCCTCGCTACCTCTCAGCTCAAAAGAGGAGTCGCCAGCCCAGGCCTCTGAGGTGTTTAGGGCAGTTCTCAGGAGCTTGACATGCCCCATCTGGCCTTTTCCTCCTCCCTGCCTCCCTGCTGACCCCCAACTCCATTCAGCTGGCCAGACTGGGCCCCGTCCCCAGAATATCAGCACCCCCAAATGGGATCCATTTCCAGGTTGGGTGTGTCAAATTTCACTTTTCTCCAAGTATCTCCATGCCTGAACTTTGAAAGGAGAAAGAGCCTTCTTTTTCGGAATGCAATGCGTCTATAGGGGGTGTGGGCTCAGACAACTTCCTCACCGTATCTGTGAGCAGCTGGGGGTTCCTTGGGTGAGCTATGCTTTGGTGTCCCCAGGCAGATCCAGTTCCCCGTGGTCAGGTTCTCTGGTGGACTAGGAGACTCTCTTTGCAAGCCTTTTACTCTGGATTCTGTGGAGATCAAAGGAGCTCATACACAAAACACTAGACACTTGGAGTAGGATTTATTTTTTAAATTTTTAAATAAAAAAAGTCCAATCATAAGCCAGTCGAGCCAACTGAGCAGTCACTCCAGAACAGCAAAGCCTTAACCAAACAGTGCAATTGTGAGGTGAGATGAACAATTATTGAAACTCAGCTTTCACTGCAAGAGGGATTTCAGCCCTCACCCAGTGGCACAAAAGGGGCCGGTGGGTCAAGGGCTCCTCTCTGGCTCTGGAAATCGAGGATTGAGGGGGTGGGTTGGGCAGCTGCAGTGGCTTCCAGGCAGCCAGGCGCTCAGGCCGAACGCTGAGTCCTGCGGCTCCAGTGTCCGTGTCCCTGAGCAGCCTCCGGAGGCGCCGAGCTGTAGTTGGTGGCGCCGGCAGCCAGGAATGGAGTGTATCTGTGTTTGAGGCTTGGTGAATCAGACATCCGCGCAGAGCTGGGGGATCTGGGGAGAGAGAGAAGACTGGCAGAACACAAACTAAGCAGGACCTCTGGAGAAGACTGTCCCCAAATAAAAATTCCAGATCTCACCCCACTCTCACTTCAGATACCCTTCGCCAAGAAAATAATATATTTCCCAGAGCAGAGTTGAAAGCAAATGCAGGCAAGGTGAGGCCTGCCCATGAACCCCTCCCAGGTCAGGGTCCAGTCCCAGCCACCCTCTCCCGGGTTCAGAGCTACACAGGCCCCCAAACCTGGCCTGGAGCAGAGCAAGGCTGGAGTAGGAGCCCTTCACTTGCCCTGGGAAACCTTCAAGTGGCCAGCCTCCAATGCAACCCTTAACTTTGGGGACTCCAGGCCAGTGACTGCCCCCTTCTCAGGCCCAGGGCGACTGCAGTGTGTTCCTCTCCTATAATTAGTGCTCATGAAAAGCATGTGTTTTGGATGGGGGGGGCGTGGAACGGTGACCGGCAACTTTCTCCCTTTATTCCTTTTCTGTGTTTTTTGAATTCTGTTTTCGAATCCACTAATTCCAGCTCCGAAAGCGAAAATCCGTTCTTGCCGCCAAACCCCTTCGGAATGCTTGATTCCCGAGGAGGCCGAAGGGGCAGAGCAACTCACAGACCTGTGGGCCTGATGGGGGTGGGGGGGTTTCTCTGAACCCTCTGATTTCTCTAGGCTTGTTTTATAGAAACAAAGAACAAGTTCTCCCCCCTCCTTCCCAGGACTTGTGCATATTTACAGAGCTCAACTGCAGTTTTAATAAAACATCTGTTCTTGCTTCTGCTGATGAGTTTCCATAATTGTTTTCAGACAAATTTAACAGGAAAATATAAATATATTTAGAAAAATCCAAGTCCCAGCTCTTCCCCCATAGACACTCATTCTTTTGCAAAAAAAAAAAAAGAAAGAAAAAGAAAAAGAAAGAAAGAAATTAACATGAAATGAAAAAAGGAAAATAAAATCCAATGGAGGGAAGATCCAGCTCATCTGACCTGCTCTCCCCCCTTGGAGCGAATCCTTCTAGCAAATTTCTGCTGCATAATTAAAGATCTAACTGAAAGAAGGTGGCTTCTTTCCTCAGGAACGGAAGGTGATGGAGGGAGACTGTGCTGGAAATTAATTTTGCCAAAAGTCTTTAAGCAGTGGGGGAATTTATTTGTATTTCTGCTTCCCCTTCTCTCCCCCTTCCAGCATTTCTGCCTTTTTCCCCCAGCAGCTGGTTCCTGTTCATTATAAATCGGCGAGACCTTTCAGTCTCTGCCCTCTGTTTAGGGACGTAATAAAACACTTAACTTTCCGGGGCTGAGACTTACATTCTGCTCCTCAGGTCGCCCACCCCCGCGCCCACCGCCTTTAGGCCCCAAAGGAGACTCTTTCCAACTTTGGGGCCCCTTTCCCCTCCAGACCTGGTTTAGGAGGGGCTCAAGGAAACCCAGGCATCCTGGTTGGGAAGCTGCAACACATGCTTCCCCAGAAGCCCTTTCTTGCTTCCAAGGTCCTTCCTTCCCTTACCCACCCATAAAAGAGATTTAAAAATACATAGAAAATCAACACTCATTGAAAGCGAAACCTCATTAAGACATCCTATCTTCCATCATTCAATTTGTTGAACATTGCAACAATTTAATATCTTGAAGGAAATATCACTGACATGATTTATCCCTCCAGCAATCTCTCTCTGAAATGGGGGGGGGTGATGAGGAGGGAGGGTATTTACTCTCTCTTCCGGCCTGTCCTGTGTGTTACACAGCTACCCCTAGGGCAGAATTGAGGCTGGAAACTCTAAGAGCAGCTACTTGTGTCCAGGGGTGCACTGGTTAGTCCCTTAGCTCATCCCCCTGGGTCTTCCACTCCCTCCCCAGTTCTCTCTTCCTCTTGCCCTCCAGGGGGCCTGGAGCCCCAGCCAGCTGTTGGAAACCTCTGTCCAGGCATGTCATGAATTCGAAGACAGCTGGATTCTAGAGCGAAAAGCAGCTCAAGCTGGTGCTGGTGTCTGTGTACCTGCCATGTCACCCCAAAATGAGACAACTCATCTCAGAATTTCTTTCTTAATTTTAAGAATCCTTCTTTAGACTTTCACCGTCTCCTTGGGGAGAGGAAAGTATGGTCCAAGAGGGGGAACCTTTATAATTACAGGGCATCTTTCCTCTGCCTTTCTAAATACCAACAAACTTCCCTCCTCTCTGAAGGATTAGGGCTGTATTTTGAAGAGCTAACACCAACTGTTTCACAGGAAGACTCTTCAATCCCGTAACGAGGTTCATGTATTAACTAACATGTCTCCATCAGCTCCTACACACTGTCTGCTTTTGGGTTCGAAACTTTATTTTTCCCCCCTAGCGACACTCCAGGGAAACCTTAACGTTACAGAAGATGAATAAACGAGTTTTTTCCCAGCGTAGTCCCGTTTATGGCTTTATTGCTACCCATTGATTACTCCGCTTTGTTACACAGAAGGAAAAGATCATAAAATCCGGCGACATCCGGGTTCTTGTTATAGCCAGTCCCCCCCCCCCCAAAATGGTGAGGGGAAAATATGAGTTTCCACTGCTCCCTTTGCTTGTCCGACCGCCCCACTCTTTGTCAACTCAAAGTATTTTCAGCCTATGTTACGATATCAAATTAAGTTTGGATTAATCAGGGGGAAAAAGCCCATCTGCACACCTTCCGCTGTTTCTGTTCGCCCATTGCGGCTCCCTCAGAAGCCTCGGACTCAGCTGCCTTTCCCTAACCTTCTCTTCCTTTTTCTCAGCCCCAAGGTGGGAAGAAAATAAGAGTAGGGGCTGCTAAGAGGCCCGGACCCCATCAGGTGTGGCTGGCCCTTGAGTGAGAGCTCCCCAGGAAAACTAAGCTGGAATCTCCAAGCCCCAGAGCTCAGGTCCAGGAACACCTCCCTTGGCAGGGCAGAGTCTGAGGGGGCAGGGGCTTCTGACCTGGGTGGGGGCTTGAGCCTGCAACATGCTCACTGTCCATCAGAGCCCCACCAGCGTTCTTTTTCTGGCTGGATCCTAGTGAATTACCCCAACCGGCCCTGGCTGGCTCCAAATCATAAATTCTCACCAACATAAACAGGAGTTGATGTGTCTAGAAAGACACTCAGAGTTTTCTTCTTTCCTTCTTCCTTCCTTTTCCTCTCTCTCCCACCTTTTACTTCTTTCTCTTCCTTGCCTATTGTATTTTTTTCCAATAAATTTTCCCTTTTAGGCAAAAATGCTGCAGGAGTTTCCCCAAAAAGAGGGTCCTGAGGAGGAGGTGGAGGGGGGCTAGGAGGAAGAAGCAGCAGCTCCTTTGCACACCTCACCTTCGCCACTGCACCCTGAAGTCTCACCCTTCCCCTTTAAAACTTAGTAGCTCCCCACTTGCCCCCTACACCCCAGACTCTCAGACACACTCTCCTTCCTCTGAGCATCCTGTTTTATGCAACTTCTTTCTACTTTTGATTTTTAAAAATTATTTGGAAAAAATATACTAGTTTAGTGATGGGGACTCACACCATGAAGTGTCAAACCAGGATTTCCTGTAGGATTTCTGGGGATCCCCCTGAGCTGAGAGGGAGCTCCTCCTCCCATGGGGGAATCAGGATGTAATTTTAGAAGGGAGTAGATATAAAAGATGAAATCAGATTGAACATACAGGGATTTCTCCAGCCCTGGCTCTGGTCACAGCACAGCAAAGTTAACTGGGGCTGAGAGATTTGCTGGGAGTGCAGCTCTCTTTTTCTGGGCCCCAAGGCCCTGCTCACGAACATTCACCCTTCCTTCACCTTCAAATCAGTTACCTTTCATATATATTTTAAAGAAATCCAAGTCTTACTTTCAAAGCACACACTTAGTCTCAACTAGGGAATCAACAGAAGCAGAAGCGATTTTTTTCCCCCTTCTTGACATCTGGCTTGCGATTGGCTGGAAGGGGGTCAGCTGACTTTGTCATTTTGTCTGTCCTGGATTGGAGCCGTCCCTATAACCATCTAGTTCCGAGTACAAACTGGAGACAGAAATAAATATTAAAGAAATCATAGCCCGACCAGGTAAAGGCAAAGGGATGAATTCCTACTTCACTAACCCTTCCTTATCCTGCCACCTCGCCGGGGGCCAGGACGTCCTCCCCAACGTCGCCCTCAATTCCACCGCCTATGATCCAGTGAGGCATTTCTCGACCTATGGAGCGGCCGTTGCCCAGAACCGGATCTACTCGACTCCCTTTTATTCGCCACAGGAGAATGTCGTGTTCAGTTCCAGCCGGGGGCCGTATGACTATGGATCTAATTCCTTTTACCAGGAGAAAGACATGCTCTCAAACTGCAGACAAAACACCTTAGGACATAACACACAGACCTCAATCGCTCAGGATTTTAGTTCTGAGCAGGGCAGGACTGCGCCCCAGGACCAGAAAGCCAGTATCCAGATTTACCCCTGGATGCAGAGAATGAATTCGCACAGTGGTGAGTTTTACAGCTCCGAGATATAAATTAAATAAACTGAACTGGCTTTATGACCGGCTTCCCTAGAAGAACGGGCGGAGAGAGTTTTTTATGGCCCCATAAAAACAATCACGCTCGTCTCCTCGCCGACGCCGAGACAGGGCCCCCTCTTCTGCCCCCTCTGCTCGCCTCCCGCTTGCTCGCAGGGGCCTGGCCCCCTCGGCCCCTGACAGATTGGAGGGCTCCAAGGCGAGCTGAGGGGGCAGGAACAGGGCAGGGGATGAGGGGAGGGGGTGGGGGAGCCCCCCAAAGTCAGTCAGGCTGAGGAGAAGGAGGGGGAGAGGAGGGGACAGAGAAGTGGGGAGAAGTTTCCAAGGAGCTAGGGTGCTTGGGGAGATGGGGGAGCCAGTCGTTGAGAAATGGGGCCCTCATCCCCAGTGTTTGGGGTTTTTCAAAAATCAGCTATTATACTTATAGCTTTCTGCCTGGTTCTGCCACCCCCCTACACACCTCTCTTTGGGACACACCTACCAACCTATGGGGGGGGGACTGAATGAAGTTGGGATCCTGGCTGTACCCCCAGTGGGGGTGGGGACAGGACAGAGGGGAGAAGGCTGGAGCCTGAGGCGGCCTGTGAGTTGCTGGCCAAGTTAGGAGGGTCAGGGCTGTGCTAGGCTAAATCATCTGCGGAGGATGCCTTGCTGATTGTTTTTAGTGTGTTTTGTGCCTGGATCTTTAGGGGTCGGCTATGGAGCGGACCGGAGGCGCGGTCGCCAGATCTACTCGCGGTACCAGACCCTGGAACTGGAGAAGGAATTTCACTTCAACCGCTACCTAACGCGGCGCCGGCGCATCGAGATCGCCAACGCGCTGTGCCTGACCGAGCGACAGATCAAAATCTGGTTCCAGAACCGCCGGATGAAGTGGAAAAAAGAGTCTAATCTCACGTCCACGCTCTCAGGGGGCGGTGGAGGGGCAGCGGCTGACAGCCTGGGCGGAAAAGAGGAAAAGCGGGAAGAGACAGAAGAGGAGAAGCAGAAAGAGTGACCAGGACTGTCCCTGCCACCCCTCTCCTGCTCCCTCGCTCCCCCCAGCTCCCTCCTAATCACACACTCTATTTATCACTGGCACAATTGATGTGTTTGGACTCCCCGAGACAAAATTAGGGCGTCAAATATGGACCTGAAAAGTCAACTTTGGACCCCCCTCCCTCACCGCACAAACTCTTTCACCAGGCGCCTCCTCCTCCTCGCTCCCGCTAGCTCGTTCTCGGCTTGTCTGCAGGCCCCTTCCCCCGCCCAGGCCTTGGGGCTCTCCCCTGAACCTCGCTTCAGACGCCCCTTCCCCCGCCCAGGCCTTGGGGCTCTCCCCTGAACCTCGCTTCAGACTCCACAGATCTTCCTCAAACGAGGACTTGGCCTCCCACCCCCTCGGCGCCCCCCACCCCCACCCCCGTCAGAGAGCCGGCTCCCGGGCCCTGGGGCCTCCGCTCCGGGGCCTCAGGTCCTGGCCTGGCCGCCGGGGAGGGCGGGAGGCCCAAGGAGGGCGCGTCGTGGCCCCACAGCAACCCCCAGGGCCTCCCCGCAGCCCCCGCCCGGCCCCTCTGCCCCAGCAAATGCCCAGCCCAGGCGAATTGTATTTAAAGAATCCTGGGGGTCATTATGGCATATTACAAACTGTGACCGTTTCTGTGTGAATATTTTTAGCTGTATTTGTGGTCTCTGTATTTATATTTATGTTTAGCACCGTCCGTGTTCCAATCCCATCTTAAAAAGGGAAAAAAAGAGGGAAAATTGCAAAAAGAGAGGAAAAAAAGTGAATGACGTTTGTTTAGCCAGTAGGAGAAAAAAATAAATTAAAAAAATCCCCTCGTGTTACCCTCCTGTATAAATCCGACCTCTGGATCCGTTCTCGAATATTTAATAAAACTGATATTATTTTTAAAAGTTTATATCGGGGTTTCTGTTACTTCACTCGCCCGCCGGCCTCGGGGTGAAAGTTGGAGCAGGCTCCGAGCGCTCCCGCGTCTGCCCGCCGCCTGCGAGACCCCAGCCCCCTGCATGCGCCTGGCCTGGCCAGGGCTCCGAGCCCTGCCTCCCGGTTCTCCCAGTGATCACCACGCTGGGGGGGCTGGGAGGCCTCTCTGGGCTCCCCACGCAGAGCAACGCACTCACCCCGCAAAAAAGGCCGCATGGGGTTTCGTTGCGGGTAGAGGGGGAGCCCCGGTTGGTCGGATTGGCCTCTTGCGCCACACAGGCCTTTCTTCCTGTCTTTGGTAGTCTGGGGTCCTCGGCGGCTTCTGAACCCCGAGCCCCCAAAGGCCAGAAAGGACGCATCATCCAGGCCTCGGGTCACCCCCGCCCACTCCCCGGAGTGATGAGGGAGGCGCTGGAGCGAGCGGGGCAGCCCCCGGCCCGCGCCAGGCCGACTCTTGCGAAACGTGGCGGAGGCGGAGAGCGAGGGGAAAGAGGAGACCGCGGGATCTGAGCCCTTCCGCAGGGATTGAGCGATTCAAGGACATCTCGGAAAAGAAAGCCTGGAAAGTGAGCTCTCGCCTGCTCTGGGACTCCTGACGTGGCCAGAACCAAATTCCTTCTTCCTTACAGCCCCAGCCCCAGTCTGGTTCCTTACTCTTTCTTCTCCCCCAAACTCGGCGGCTGAGGATCACAGCCAGACCCTAACCCTTCCCCAGCTCAGGCCTTCTCCCCTAACTCAGCCAGAGAAACCTGAGTGGACCTAAGGGGTGAGGTAGTGAGGGGGTCTCCCGGAGGGAAAAAATCCTCCAGTTTTCCAGACCTTCCAGATCCCCGCCAGCGCCCCCTCCAGCGCCTCCGCCAGCGGGGGGGCAGGAGGGGGGCTTCCCCTGGCAGGGGCGGAGATTTCCTGGGGAGAGGCAGGCAGGAAAGAATAAGACTTGGGGCTAGGGGAGGGGGTTCGGAAAGGGGCCGAAAGGCTGCAGAGCCCCTGGCCCCAGGCTGTGACGGTTGCCCAGGCGCCTGCCCTGCCCACCCCCATCCCCCCACCGCCAGCCAGGTCCTTTCGGCACCTCCAGATAGCTCAGAAATTGCTCTCCTGTGAACTTTCTGGACCCAAGTCCCTGAAAAACCTGGTCCAGAGGCCTTTTCCCCAAAGGGCACAAAACAGGCCTTTTTCTCTGCCCTGATCATGTAATATTTGTGGAGGCTTGAATTTTGCTTGCCCTCAATTAACATCTAGTTTCTAACCAAAATATCTGGCATAGGTACCACACCAGGGTCATACACAGGGATGCAAAGCAGTCCTCCAGCCCATTGTGTGTGGTTCTTTATCCATCCACCCACCCATATCCACACCCACACACAATTGAAAATGGTCTTGTTGCCAGTCTGGGATCCCTGGCATGATGAGGAGGTCTACTCATTTCTCCCTAGCTCCTCACCTCCAGGCTCATTCCAGAGTCCCAATTGCTCTTAGCCCCATGATCCCCCTGTCTAGTTCTGCCCACCCAGGACCCCTCCTCCTGGGCATCCCATCTGTCTGTCTCTAGAGGCTGGGTTCACTTTCCCAGGCTGATAGGCACCTCCTAGCAGTAGCAGGGCCGTGGGACCTCCAAGGAAAGGGTTCTCTACCCTTGCTTTAGAGAACCTGAGATAAGCCCCCCCCTTACCTTAACCCCCTTCTCTCAACTATTTTTGAACATTGAAAGGCCCTGGGGCTTTTGGGCTATCTATTACCCCTAGGACCCTCTGTGCATCCTAATGAAGCCTCATCTCTCCTTAAAATTAAATACAAATTAAAAGGCCATTGCAGGAGTTTGTTGCAGCAACACCCAGCTTCTCCTCCACAGGGTAGAAAATCCAGCAGCCTGAAGGCCAGACGGTGAGCCAAGCTGCAATTCCTCCAAGTAGGCACCAGGTGTCGCTGTGGGCTCGTTGTCCCAGCTACCCCCCAATTCCAAGAACCATTTTTTTTCTCCCCCTTCTCTCTTTCTCTCTCACTCCCTCTCCCCCTTGGTTGGGCTTTGCCAACATATCAAGATGCGTTTCGCCGGCTTCCATCACTAACCTCCCGGAGGTCATCAAGCCAAATTTATGAGTGGCCGCTCGAGTCACGTGACTCTATTTAAGGCTCCCTTATTTGGGAAGAGCGCATAGGATAAAGAAAGAGATATCTCCACCTATAAATTGTGCACTTTGGAGAACAAAAAACCCCTCAACTTCAAAGAGTCACAAATCACCCTTAATCAAAAAGGGTGCAGAAATTTTTTTGGGGCCCTCCCCGCCATGAGCTCCTACGTAGCCAATTCATTCTATAAGCAGAGCCCCAATATCCCTGCCTATAACATGCAAACTTGTGGGAACTATGGATCGGCCTCAGAGGTGCAGGCATCCAGGTACTGCTACGGCGGATTGGACTTAAGCATCACTTTCCCACCGCCTGCGCCTTCCAACTCTCTCCACGGGGTAGACATGGCTGCCAACCCCCGGGCTCACCCCGACCGCCCCGCCTGCAGCGCCGCGGCCGCTCCGGGACACGCTCTGGGCAGAGATGAAGCGGCTCCTCTGAACCCCGGGATGTACAGTCAGAAGGCGGCTCGCCCAGCGCTGGAGGAGCGAGCTAAGAGCAGTGGGGAGATCAAAGAGGAGCAGGCGCAGACAGGGCAGCCCGCCGGACTGAGCCAGCCACCGGCCCCGCCACAGATTTACCCGTGGATGACCAAACTGCACATGAGCCACGGTAAACTTTAGGACTTCATTTTGCGCGCTCGGGTCCGCCTGGGTTTTATAGGCCATGCGGGGCAAATAAAGAAAAAAAACCTGCGGCCATAAATTTTACGATCCAGGCATCAATGGCTCGTAAAACTGTCCACTAAAAGGCTTAGAGGCTGTGTGCGCCCAAATTTACGACGACATAATTGGATCATAGGAACAAAACGTGTATAAAAGGCAATATTCAATTTTTGGGGGAGAGGGAGGGAGTTAAAAAAATAGAGGGATGTGAAGGGTGAGGAGCAGCGCGGGGCTCCAGAGCGGGGATCCCCCCGCGGTCCCTCCTCCCTCCCCTGCGGAGCCGGCTCGGCCGCCGCTTGCCGCTCCGGAGGATTCCAGCGACTCGGGAGGGGCGGGAGGGGGGTCCCCGGTGCTCGGATCTCGAGGGTGCTTATTGTTCGGTCCGAGCCTGGGTCTCCCTCTCCCCCCCAACCCCCTCCACGCCCCTCCCTCGACGACCGTCGCCCGAACGGCCACACGAGGGGTAG